GATGATAAACTCACATAGCAATTCTCCCCAGCGAGACGCTAGTCCCCAAAATCTTGTTCAAATCACAAGTACACAAATCATGTCACGTTAACACCAAACCTCTGACAAAACCAACTTATCAATCCTCGTCAATAGGATGATAAGTCCTCAAAGTTGCTCCAATCGCAACACAAATCCTGTCACGTTAACACTAAACCTCTGACAACCCACTTATCAATCCTCATCAATAGGATGATAAGTCCACAAAGTTGCTCCGATCGCAACATTCTCTTTCGTCACGTTAACACTAAACCTCTGACAAATTAACTTATCAATCCTCTTCAATAGGATTGATAAGTCCACAAAGTTGCTCCGATCGCAACAAATTCCCGTCATGTTAACATCATACCTCTGACAATCCACTTATCAATCCTCGTCAATAGGATGATAAGTCCACAAAGTTGCTCCGATCGCAACACATTCTTGTCACGTTAACATTAAACCTCTGACAAAACCCACTTATCAATCCTCATCAATAGGATGATAAGTCCACAAAGTTGCTCCAATCGCAACACAAATCCTGTCACGTTAACACTAAACCTCTGACAAAACCCACTTATCAATCCTCGTCAATAGGATGATAAGTCCACAAAGTTGCTCCGATCGCAACATTCTCTTGTCACGTTAATAACTTATCAATCATCTTCAATAGGATGATAAGTCCACAAAGTTGCTCTAAACGCAACACATTCCTGTCACGTTAACAATATACCTCTGACAACAATCCACTTATCAATCCTCGTCAATAGGATGATAAGTCCACAAAGTTGCTCCAATCGCAACACATTCCTGTCACGTTAACAATATACCTCTGACAACAATCCACTTATCAATCCTCGTCAATAGGATGATAAGTCCACAAAGTTGCTCCAATCGCAACACATTCCTGTCACGTTAACAATATACCTCTGACAACAATCCACTTATCAATCCTCGTCAATAGGATGATAAGTCCACAAAGTTGCTCCAATCGCAACACCTTCCTGTCATGTTAACATCATACCTCTGACAAAATCCACTTATCGACTCTCCCCAATAGAGCGATAAGTCCTCAAAGTTGCCCTGATCGCAACATCTTCCTGTCACGTTAATATCACACCTCTGACAAAATTCACTTATCAATCTTCTTCAATAGGATGATAAGTCCTCAAAGTTGCTCCGATCGCAACATTCTCTTGTCACGTTAATATCAAACACCTCTGACAAAATCAACTTATCGACTCTCGTCAATAGAGCGATAGGTCCTCAAAGTTGCTCCGATCGCAACACTTTCCACTTATCGACTCTCATCAACGGAGCGATAGGTCCATAAAAATACTGTTAGGTTAACATCACACCTCTAACAGTCAAACCCCCCAATGAACTTGTTAATCCTTTTTCAACAAGAATAGCAAGTTGTCATTATAAAATCCCCAACGGATTAAATATTTTCTGGAATTATCCTAGTGATAATAAAGAAAATTTCTGAATTTCACTCTAAGTGAAAATTCATGCCAAGTTAATATTACACCTCTGGCGCTTCCAACTTTCTTTCAGTGTTTCAAGTAACACAGGAAGAAATAACGACAAAGTCTACGTATTCAACATCGTAGCACCAAAATCCATGCCTTTTACGCATGGGGGACTTTATCTCGATCCCTAATTAGAGATAAGCCTACGCCTAACACGCGTTGCCGGTTAGTCTTTTTCCGTAAAAATGACAAAGTCTATGTATTCAAAATCATAGCATCAAGTCTAAGAGGGTTCATTCTCTTAGCACAACGTTACATGTGGAACGGACTTAGACAATCCACATGCTAGCCCGACTCAAACGGTAGTCGGTAAAGGCTTATCAAATCCGTTGATGGCTGAGGGTTTGCCAAAAATCCTATGCACGTTTGCAGGTCCATCAGCTTAATGGATGTGAGCCGAGACTTAAAACAGATGAGCCAAAGACAAGTCTCAAAGGCTTAGTCAAAAATGCACGGAAGCTACTTCCATATCTTAAGTCAAAACGTTGAGGTCATACCCGTGTTCCAAATTCAACATGTAAGGGTGAGACCCGCATCTCAAGTTCAAAATGTAGGGTCCACCCCCACATTCCAGAAGCAGGATTATGGCGCATACCTTCACACAGGTCCTACGTGCAAATCCCTTCAACCAAGATGCCTTCGAAGCAAGTGCAGAGAACAAATCCTTTACCACAAGGAATCAACAGCTCCAAGATCAGAGTTGAGATCCAAAGTATTCCGAAAATTCGTCCCAGTCAACCGCGAACTTTCGAAAACTTTGGAGGGGGTTCTGTAGGCTGTCTAAAAATCACAATAGATAGCTGATCCCCATCAAACACCGATGATGGAAGTTACAATCTGACGACTTCCAGAAGGCTACAATTTGAAGACTTTCACGTAGATCGCTGAAGGTTACAATCTGACGACCTTCACGACAACCGATGAGAGCTCTAGTTTAACAGCCTTCACCATCAATATCGAGAGTTACAATCTGACGACTCTTGCATATCAAAGAGCTAAAGTAAAGATTACAAAATGACGATCTTTGCAACGCTTCGACAGAAAGAGACTACAAATCAATGGTCTCTTCAAATCAAGACGTGGAAGTCCTCCCCACGTACCAGCATCAAGATGCGCCACGTTCATAGCCACGAACGCAGCTCAAATGCAGCTCCAAAAGTTGCAAACGCAGCTTAAATCACCACTGGACGCAGCTCAACATCGCTGCCCGACGCAGCTCAACATCGCTGCCCCACCAGCATCAAGATGCGCTGCGTTCATAGCCACGAACGCAGCTTAAATGCAGCTCCAAAAGTTGCAAACGCAGCTTAAATCGCCACTGGACGCAGCTCTATTCGCTGCCCGACGCAGTTCAACATCGCTGCCCGACGCAGCTCAACATCGCTGCACAACGCAGCTCAATATCGCTGCACAACGCAGCTCTATTCGTCGCCCGACGCTGCTCAACGCAGCTCCAAGCGCTGCCCAACGCAGCTCTATATCGCTGCCAAACGCAGCTTTCATCCGCTGCAAACGCAGCTTCCAATCACTGCGTTCAAGCTTCCAGACACTGCGTTTGGACACAGAATTCATGCTAGAATGCAGGATCTGCGTTTGACTCGTTCAAACACGAGTTGAACGGTTTCAAAACCGTTTCCCACGATCTGAGGGGATCATAACTCCACTCAGGAGTGATTTAAGGGGCGGTTACATCCCATTAGCCCCACTTAGGAGCGAATTAAGGAGGTGGTTACACCCCTTAATCCCCTATAAATAACTAAGAAATCAACTTAGTTCGAGGCTGGATCTTTCGGGTGCAGTCTGTTGGAACTTCTTGGCTCGTCAACAGGATCCTTAGAGCATTTCTGGAACTTTGGAGATTGGCAACAAGATCTTCTTTATCCTTGGCTTATAACCGATTTCGGTTAAATCAACTCTTTCATAGGGTTTTAAACTCGTTCAGAGTTCTCCACAACGTCAAATCGTGAGGAGAAGACCATGTTCCAGTGAATTGAGACATTCGGATCGTCAACGGAGAGCAAACTCGACGCGAGCATTCGAGGGAGGCACTCCATCGCTATCGTGAAGAACCCAGAATTAAATAAAGGGGAGAATCCAGATCATTCTCTTCTCTTTTGTAACCAGGAATCCAAATTGTAATCGAGAGTTGAGTTCTCTTTTGTAACCAGGAATCCAAATTGTAATCGAGAGTTGAGAGAATTGTAATCATTCTTTTTCTAAGCAGTTAGAGAGCATAAAATCAAATACAGTTCTTTCCTTGTTTTCTTATTACAAAATTTCCACCAAACATAAAGCTTGGACTCAAATTGCATTACCTGAAATATGCTTATTGAAGGCTGGTGTTTATCTTTTCAAATTTAAAAATGAAGAAGATATGAGTGGAATTCTTGAGAAAGGTCATTGGTTCTTTGGTTCAAGGCCCCTACTTTTAAAACCTTGGAATGTTAATGGTGATATTGAAAAAATAAAGGACTGTTCTTATCCTATGTGGATTCAACTGCCTGGCCTTAAGCTTAACCTGTGGAATTCTAATTGTATAAGCAAGATTGCTAGTGCTATTGGAAAACCAATCACTACTGATAAGCTTACTGCAAATAGACAGAGGCTGGCCTATGCAAGAGTGCTTGTGGAAGTCAAAATGCCATCTCCCCTTCCAGACCAGATAACAATCATGGGACCTAATGGTAAAAATTTTAGGCAGAATGTTACATATGAATTAAAGCCAAGATGGTGTGAGCACTGCAAGATGGTAGGGCATGACTCTAGTTATTGCAGGAGACAAACAAGAACTCAGAAATGGGTGCCAAAACAAAAACAAAAACCTGAGGTTGAAGATAAAGCAGAAGGCTCAGGTTATAATCAGGTTGTTCAGGGAACTGACCAAGGTGATAAGGAAATGCATGGAGTGCATTTGCCTGTGCATGATGTGTGCAATAAGGATCCTATTTCTAAGGTGATTGGAAGCAGTAGGCTGCAAATGACTTCAGATGCTACTGGTTTTAAAGATAAGTCTGGGGCTCTGCATGTGCATAGTAGCCATGTAGAAATCTCAGATATTCAACAGGTTAAGAGGCCTGAATCTCTACAGGTTGATCAAGTCAATAACTCTGGTAGTGCAAATAAGTCTAGGACTTCAGGTACTCCTGTGCACGTTGTGCATAACAAGTCTGAGCATGATGAATACAATAAGATTCCAGACACTGAGGTTAACAAGGTGGTTGAAGGTAACAGATCTCAACAATTCAAAACTGCTGATGGCCTAAGTGGAATTCTTGGAACTGTACTCATGCATGTGGTGCATGTTTCAGATACTGAATCTGGAAACTTCTCACAATTATGGACAATAGTTCAAAATAAAAAATCAAAGGGGCTATTAAATCCCACCAATTCTTTTTCATCTCTAGATAATTTAGATTTTGACCCTTCTACCATTAGAGGGGGCTCATCTAAATGAATCTAACATTTTGGAATGTCAGAGGACTAAATAAGTCCTCTAAGCAACAGTTGGTAAAGCACCATATGTTGCAATATCATGCTTCTTTCCTTTCTCTCCTGGAAACCAAGATTAAGGGCTCATTGCTACCTGTTGTGGCAAAGAAAATAGCAAATAGTTGGAGTTGGATTTCTAATGCAGGGGTGTCAGGTAAAGCCAGAATTTTTATTCTATGGGATACAAAAATCTTGGATGCTCAAGTCATAGCTTCATCTGATCAACATATAACCTGCCTTGTAAAATCCTTGGATGATTTACTGGAATGTGTCATATCTTCTGTGTATGGACATAATCATGTAGAAGGCAGGAAGGCATTATGGACAGATCTCATGCAGATTAATCATAATATTGGTGATGTTCCTTGGTTACTATGTGGGGATTTCAATGCTATGATCAACTGTGATGAAAAGCTTGGAGGTTCTGCATTAACTGAGGCTGATACAGGTGACTTCAGGGATTTTATTTTTGATTGTAATCTCAATCATCTTAAGACCTCTGGATGCTTTTACACTTGGAATAACAAGCAAAGCTCAGATTCTAGAGTCTGGTGTAGGCTTGATAGGGCCTTGGTTAATGATGCATGGATTCATTCTTTCAACTCTAGCCATGTGGAATTTCTTCTTCCTAACTTTTCAGATCATTCTCCAGCTTTGGTCTCTATAAACCTTTCAAGTTCTTCAATATGTGGATGAAGCATCAAAGTTTCTCTACCACAGTCTCTAATGTTTGGAAAGGAAAAATTAAGGGTTTCTCTATGTTCTCAGTTTACTCTAAACTGAAAATGCTGAAGGTTGCTCTTAAGGGATTAAATAAGAAACATTTCCACAACATTAGTGAACAAGTCCAAAGGGCTAGGCTTACTCTAGAGAATGTTCAGGAAAAACTTTAAAACTCCCCTTTTGATCCCATTCTTATAAAACAAGAGAAAGATAGTCTGGTTACACTCAACAGGCTTATGGATTGTGAGCTCTCATTCTTCCAGCAAAAAGCTAGGATTAATTGGAATTTGCAAGGTGGCAGGTGCTCCAGATTCTTTCATGCTTTGGCAAAAACAAATAGGCACCAAAATAGAATTGTGGTTCTATATAACAACAGAGGTGATAAGATTACAGATGGAGAAGGCATTGCTGATGAATTGGTGGCTTATTATAAAAGCTTAATGGGTACTGCTATAGACACTGCTCCTCCTGACATGAATATCATAAAATCTGGGCCTTGTTTGAATGAAGCTCAAGCAAATCACCTATCAAGACCAGTTTCTAAAGAAGAAATCAAGGCAGCAATATTCTCTATGTCAGATTTAAAGGCACCAGGACCTAATGGGTTCAATGCGTCTTTCTTTAAAGCTGCATGGAACATTATAGGGGATGAAGTAACATTGGCTATCGAAGACTTTTTAAAGACTGGAAGGCTCTTAGGCACGGTTAATTCAACCTCAATTACTCTTATACCAAAAGTACAGTGCCCTAAAGTTCCTTCAGACTACAGACCTATCTCTTGTTGCAATAGCATCTACAAATTCATAACAAAGATTCTAGCAAACAGGATCAAAGAAATGATGGGGTGTCTGGTCAATGGTGCACAATGTGCATTTGTGAATGGGAGATTGATCTCAAATAACATAATGCTTGCTCATGAACTGGTGAAAAATTACAGTAGGAAGCTGTTATCTTCTAGGGTGATGTTAAACATTGATATAAAAAAGGCCTTTGATTCAATCAGCTGGGGATTTATATCAGATATGCTCAAAGGGCTGAATTTCCCTCATGTTATGGTGAACTGGATAATGGAATGCATCACCGCTCCCAAATATTCTATTTCACTTAATGGAACATTACATGGTTATTTCAATGGCCAAAGAGGTCTCAGACAGGGTGATTCATTGTCACCTTACCTGTTCATATTAGGCATGGAATATTTATCAAGGAGCTTGAGTCTCTTAGAAAAGGACAGGCAATTCAAATATCATCCCAAGTGTGCTAAACTCAAAATATCTCACCTCATTTTTGCTGATGATTTGCTTCTATTCTCTAAAGGTGATATCTACTCTGTGTCAAAGCTCTATCAATGTTTCAAGGAGTTCAGTGCCATTTCTGGTTTGGAGGCAAATGCAGAAAAGAGTTCTATATACTATGGGGGTGTTGATGAAAATACCAAAAATTCTCTTCACAACTTGCTGGGGTTCTCATCTGGTACATTGCCTATCAGGTATCTTGTAGTCCCTCTGACATCTAAGAGATTATCTTATTTGGACTGCAATCCATTATTTACAAAGATAACTGGTCAGTTTCAGAATTGGTTAAGACATCGAAAACTTTCCTATGCTGGTAGGCTTCAGATCATCAAAAGTGTTATACTTGGGATTCAAATATTCTGGACTTCAAATTTCATTCTGCCTGTCAGAGTTCTAAAGAGAATAGATGAACTTTGCAGAAAGTTCCTATGGGGTAATTCTGATCAAACTTTTAAAGCTTCTCTTGTCTCGTGGGAGAGGGTGTGCAGGAGTAAGGATCAAGGGGGTCTGGGGATTTTCTCTGCCCTCAATTGGAATATTGCTTCAGCCATCAAATGTATCTGGAACATACACACCAACAAGGAGTCCCTATGGATTAAATGGATTCATGAAAATTACTTAAAAAATTCAGATATTTGGTTGGTGGTTGCAAAGCCTAGTGATTCCTGGATGTGGAAACAGTTGATTAGAACAAGGGATAAAGCTATAGCTTTGTGTGGTGGTGAGAACAATCTGAAGTTGCTGATCAGTTCCTGCTGCAAAAATTCAAAGCTCAGAATCTCGGCCATATACAATTCACTCTTACATTCAGCAAATGAAGAGAAATGGTCCAGAGTTGTTTGGGGAAGATTAAATATCCCTAAGCATTCATTCATTAGCTGGTTAGTTTGTCAAGACAGACTTCTAACAAAGGACAGGTTATATAGGAGAGGAGTCATTAATTCAAATCTGTGCAGTCTATGCGATGGAGCTTGCAGCGAATCCAGGAACCACTTGTTCTTTGAATGTGTTTACTCTTGTGAAGTATGGAATAATATCATGGATTGGATGGATTTTAACTGGCGTACCTGTCATTGGCATCATGTTATTGAGCTGTTTACTGTCAGACAACGAGGTAAGGGACTTAAGCAGCTTCTCAAAAATTTGGCTCAGACAGCAACTATCTATTACATTTGGAGGGAGCGCAATGTTAGAATCTTCCAACAAAAGTCCAGGAGCACATCGCAGCTGGTTAGAGAAATCAAAACTGATGTTTGGATCACCATATTAAACAATCCATTAGTTAGATAATCTGAAAATGTGAATTTCCTCTTAGTGATGTTATGTTGCTAGATTTTGTAAGCTCAGTCTCTTTCTGAGCAATTGATGTAATTACATTTCATATTTGGTTATGAATAAAAATCTTTCATTGACCAAAAAAAAAAGAATCATAATCGTTCTAAAGTCGTACAATCATAACTGATTAGTGCTGATCTTTATATTAATTGGCAAAATAAGAAGTATATATAGAACTCATGAGTATGAAACACGAGAGGTATATAATTAGTTGGCAGCATCTGGTACAAGGAGAAGGATTTGATAACAACCCCAGCATGCATATACGTACGTACAAGAGATAAGATGATGAAGAAACATTAATTTTATGCATGAACGTAAACTAAGGTACTACTAACTGCCCTTTTGTACTTACAATTCTCCCGACTCTTTCTTGTTGGCCAAATACTTAAATTGGAGATTTCATCACCCCCAAGGTGGGATCTCATCAGCACGCACCAAAGTGCTAACTGTCCATGGATTGTAGGTGGTGATTTCAATGCTATCATTAGCAATCAAGAAAAACTGGGTGGATCTCAAGTATCTGAAGCTGACACTGAAGATTTCCAAAAATTCATTGAATTGAATCAGCTGCATCATCTAAAAGCTACTGGCTGTTTTTTCACATGGTGCAATAAACAAGATGCAAAAACCAGAATATGGAGCAGATTGGATAGAGTTTTGGTTAATGAGGAGTGGATTCAAAAATTTACCTCCAGTCAAGTTGATTTTTTAGTGCCAAATTTGTCTGATCATTCCCCAGCTTTAGTGACCATTGGTGATGATGAAATTAATGAAGGAAAGAAACCATTCAAATTTTTTTCCATGTGGATTAAGCATCCTGAGTTCAACACAAAAGTAAAGACTGTTTGGGATCAGGATCTCAGGGGCTATTACATGTATAAACTGGTTACAAAGCTGAAAAATCTCAAACCAGTTTTAAAGGAGTTGAATAAAAGACATTTTATGAGTATCAGTGAGCAGGTTATAAGAGCCAAAGAAGAACTTTCTGTGATTCAACAGCACTTAGCTAATGCTCCTTTCAATTCTGATCTGATAACAAAGGTGAAAACTTGTCTGAGTACTTATGCCAGGTTGATTGATTTTGAAGCTTCCTTTTACAGGCAAAAAGCTAACATCAAATGGAGTCTTCATGGAGATAAATGCTCTAAATTCTTTCATTCTGTTATGAAGACAAAGAGACATCATAATAGGATCCTGTCAATATATTCTGATAATGGAATAAGGCTTACTGATATGTCTGACATCACTATGGAATTCATTGCTTACTTCAAAAACCTCCTGGGATACACTGGTTCTTGTGTAGAGATTAATCATGATGTGATAGCTAAAGGGCCTGTTATCTCAACTGATCAAGCAAATAACCTGAGTGCACCTGTTTCAAGAGATGAGATTAAACAAGCACTATTTTCTATGGATAATGAAAAAGCTCCTGGCCCTGATGGCTACACTGCTCTCTTCTTCAAAGCATCCTGGAATATGATCAAAGATGATCTTCTTCTTGCTGTTGAGGAATTTTTCAAATCTGGTAAACTTCTTGGAGCTCTAAATAGTACTTCTATTACTTTGGTTCCTAAGATCCTCAACCCCAAATCTCCTTCAGACTATAGACCTATATCTTGTTGCAATGTTGTTTATAAAATCATTTCAAAAGTCATTGCAACCAGAATTCAGGGGGTTATGGGTTATCTGATTAATGAGGCTCAAAGTGCCTTTGTTAAATGAAGAGCTATATCTAGTAACATCCTTCTAGCTCATGAATTGATCAAGCACTATGGCAGGAAGTCCACAACTCCAGAATTGATCAAGCACTATGGCAGGAAGTCCACAACTCCAAGAGCTATTCTTAACATTGACTTAAGGAAAGCTTTTGATACTATAAATTGGAAATTTATTCAAGAGCTATTCTTAACATTGACTTAAGGAAAGCTTTTGATACTATAAATTGGAAATTTATTGAAGATATACTCACTGATTTAGCCTTTCCAAAGAACATGATTAACTGGATCATGCAGTGCATTAGTACTCCTAAATATTCCCTATCTTTAAATGGCACACTTCATGGCTATTTTGAGGGAGCTAGAGGTTTAAGGCAAGGAGATCCTCTTTCCCCATACCTATTTGTTTTAGGAATGGAGTATCTTTCGAGAAGGCTATGCATGCTCAAAGAAGATAGACTGTTCAAATATCATCCAAAGTGTTCAAGGCTGAAAATTTCCCATCTCTTCTTTGGACTGTTCAAATATCATCCAAAGTGTTCAAGGCTGAAAATTTCCCATCTCTTCTTTGCTGATGATCTGTTACTCTTCTGCAAGGCTGATTTATACTCTATTGCAAAATTAAAAGAATGCCTTTCAGATTTCAGCTGTGTGTCTGGATTAGAAACAAATCCTAACAAATGTTCTATTTACATGAGTGGGATTGGAGATGATTTAAAAGCTCAAATTTGTGCTCTCCTTAATTTCTCTGAAGGAGTACTTCCTGTGAGATACTTAGGAGTACCACTAATCTCTAAGAGACTGTCTTATATGGATTGCTATCCATTGATCAATAAGATATCTACTCAGCTTCAAAACTGGCAAAAGAAGAAAACTCTCTCTTATGCAGGAAGACTGCAGCTGATTAAAACTGTTATTCTGGGTATTCAACTCTATTGGACTAGCAATTATGTTCTCCCAGTTAAAGTCCTGGAAAAAATTGATAGTCTCTGTTCTGAATTCTTGTGGAATCACAAAATACATCTGATATCATGGACTGCAGTATGTCAAGATAAAGAGCATGGAGGTTTGGGGATTTTCTCTGCTAGAACCTGGAATCTTGCAGCGGCTATGAAGCTCCTTTGGATCATACACCTCAAGAATGATCTATTGTGGATCAAGTGGATTCATGGGCATTACCTAAGGCAATCAAACATTTGGCAAGTGCAAATAAAATTGAATGATTCATGGATGTGGAAGCAAATGCTTAAAGTAAGAGATAAAATGATATCCAAGTTTGGAAATATCTCAAATGTGCTGAATATTATCACAAGGTGCTGTTCTAGAGGTAAATTTCAGATTTCTTCTATCTATAATGAGATCATACAGCAAAATGCACCTGTTGTTTGGTCTAGAACAGTCTGGGATGGATGGATGTATCCTAAACACTCCTTTATACTTTGGCTTGCTATCCAATCTAGACTGTTAACAAAAGCCAGGTTGTGTCACTTGGGGGTCCTCGACACCAACTCCTGTGTTCTATGCACTCATCAAAAGCATGAAACCATTGGGCATCTTTTCTTTGAATGTGAATTCTCTGCTACTATCTGGAACAAAGCTATGGAATGGATGAATTTCAGGTGGAAAACTTGCAACTGGGAGCGTGTTATTCAATGGTATAGTGAAAAACTGAAAGGAAAGGGTTTCATGATGAAGCTTAAGAGATTGGCACTATCAGCTACAGTCTATGCTATATGGAAAGAAAGGAACCAAAGAATTTTTCAGCATGAAGCAAAAGGAGCTGATTTTGTGTTCAAGACAGTAAAGCTGCTAATTTTTTCTAAGGTCCTAAATGATGATATTCCTCTTCACATAAAGGAGAGAATTGAGCAAATGTAAAAAACATGATAGTTGTTTCTTCCAGTTATCACTGGAATGTCTTTGATGTACATATATTTCACATTTTGGTTATGAATAAAATTTTTCATTGACCAAAAAAAAAGAAATATGGGTATGCTTGGTACCAAGCACAACTTTTGTGCTTGGTAGTGATGTGTCACATCCTAATCCACTCATTACCCATGTGAATGTGATCATACATTTGAATAAGTGGAGGGAGATGTGACACCTCACTACCAAGCACAAATTTTTGTGCTTAGTACCAAGCATACCCATATTTCTATATATATATATGGAAAAAGTGTTCCTAAGATGACGCCTTAGATAATCATCTAAGGACGCGGTCTAAAATCACATGATTGAGCTACATTGTGCATGGATGATCCACTCTATTGAACTTGATCTACATATTCTAAAACCCCAACACACCAAGTTTGGGGTGAACTCATTGTGTGTGTGTGTACATATAATATATAGTAATAACCAATATTTTTTAGTAAGGATAATCTATTACGTTAGGTTAGGGTTTTGTAACCAAATATGATCGTCTTTGTATATATCCGCATCATCTGTGTATATGTATATGGTATCATAGAATACATATTTTTTTAATCTTTTTGATTGTTTCCTCAAGGTACAACCTCAAAGACATGATCATCTTTGTATATATACATCCGCATCATATTAAGTACATAGAATAATTAAGATGCAATAGAGAATATATAGCATTTGTAGAAAGACTTGATGTAGAAGCAAAGGGGTTAGAATGATGAAGACCCACCACCAAACCAATATCCAAATTGGTATATGGAACGCATAAGTAGAAATTCAACTGCATATATGTACAAAGTGCATTCTTGGAGGAGAGGCATCAATAAAGTCATTGCACTACATAAATGAATCAAATTTAGGAATTCAGCATACATGTGTACAATTACACTGTGACTATAGCTAAGTTTCCAACTGCATGTAGAGGATCACACTTGCTGCATGAACCTGGTGATCATGAAAAGTTAATTAGCTGTATTCGGGTTAGCTATAAGAAAGAACTATGGTAGCTAGACTTCAATTATGGTATGTATATGTATTTACACACACACGTACACACACACATATATACACACACACACATTGTGATGTCAAAACTAGTTAGTGGCCTAGCTAGCTACGATCAGATGGATACATAATCACAATGACTTTCTTTCATCTAATTAACAATATCTCATACATATAGCAACGTGGAGTTTAGTTCAAAGAAGATATTATTACCAAAAAAAAGAAAACGAAGAAGGAAATCCTAGTTATATATTATTTAGTGGGAAATGAAAACTTTACCAATATGTCCAACGTGATCAAATTTATATAGTAATTCCAATTCTTAAAAGAGCAAAATTGAATGAGAATTCATATTGTCATTAATTACTTTTATTAATCTTCAAGAGAATATATATGATAGCTACAACAAGTTCAATATAAAGCATAGAAATTCATCATTATCATGTTTTATGAAGTGATCATCATGTGATTCCCTATTGATGTCTTCATTAGGTTTTTAGCAACATGCATTAAGAGTCAGTACCCGCGCGAAGTATTCATGAACACAGTGAATATTAATTAAAGAAATTAGCAGTATTCATCTCTGCATCTTCATTTAATTTTCTCACAATAAATATTTGTGAATGAGGTAATAAGTTTAATTATTTTTAAACACCGGTGAAATTATGTAACTCAAATTTAGTTGCGTTGCTTCTTTCTCAAGGGAAAAAAGAGAAAAACTAAAAGAAAAATGGAGACGGCAAAAAAAAAACTTGTAGATCAAAATTTAATTAACATTATAGCCTTTTCCTATCTTATCAGAGAAACTTATACAAGATCACAGATGCTCATATAGGAACTTTATCATGCATGCATAAAATGAGAACTTTACGCTAGCAAAAGCTTGTTATTTTTTAGGGCTAATCATTAAGAATAGCTGGGTAGCAAACTATCACAACTATTGATATCAGTATATTTTTGTAGTATTATCATAAAGCTAGATTTAGAAACAGACATTCTTCTGCTAACGCTACAATTCACACCGTGATCTGTAAAGCTAGCTTAATCAAAACCAAAAAAGGAAAAAAAAAAAGAAATAGAAAACAAAAAAGAAAATGAAAAATATCTATTTTGTAAAGTGCCTTTCTAATGTCCACAAACTAAGCACTTTATTCATCCTTTAAGCAAGAAAATTAACCACTAATAATACCTTTCCATCAAACTCTAACCTAACTTGCACCACCATCAAACAAACCCTTTGATGCCATTCGCCGCCGCTGAGGAATCAGGCCGTTGCAGGCCCAACCTAAGCTCGAGGTCCAACTCCACCGTGTAGGCATCAGAAATTGCCTATAAGTTTCCACACACAGTTCGAGACGAAGCGAGGATAATAATTGTCATCATCTGAGTTGAACAAGATGACCCGATGCCGTAGAGAAAGCAACGAAAAGCATGAAGTGAATCGGTGAAGCATACGAGTCCACAAAACAACAAAATTCGTGTAATGACACAACAAGATCAGCCCGGAGAGCCCCTGGCAACCGAGCTGCATCAAAACGGCTCGGCCAAGGCTAGGTGACTCGGCCTTGGCCAAGTCACCCTAAGGCTCGCACTTGGGCTCATCAACGTGAGATTTGCGTTCTGAAGCAGAAACACAGCGCGCAGATGGAGGCTCACAAACGCGAAGTTTGCGTTGATTAGGAGATCGATTGTCATGAAGATATGCTCGTCGTATGGATCTTCTCCTTCGTCGAGCTGCATTTTTCTTGGCCTCTTTCAAGGCTTTTGCAGCAGCATCAGTTGTAATGACGGAACTTATCACCACGATGGGCCTTTTGTGATTTGATACACCTCGTCCTGACGCGATTGTGGGATCTTCAACTTGGCTGACGAGTCCAACAGAGGTCGAGCTCGCTCCTTTAGAGGACAGGTTGTTCGCATCATGTAGGCGGTTCAGCAACAATTGGAGCTTCGGTCTCCTTGGAAATGTTGCGCACTTTGCGCATAGCCTTAGGGCTAAGAGATCCAGAAGAGAGTAACTCTTCATACTTAGCTTGATCGAACTCTACCATGAGAGTTTCAACTGTTGTTCCAGCGAGGTTGGTGTCAAATTGCACCACAACTTCTTCATCGGTGAAGCTAGTCCCTAGCAGAGTCATCATCTTTTGTTTGGTGAGAAAATTCATGAGAAGAAGTTTAAGAATTAAATTTGTGTTATTTCTTTATCAGACTTAGAAAAAGAATTAAGTACAATTCTTTCAATGTAATCGCTCTTTAACAACTTAGAAAAAGAAATTACATATTACTCTCGATCGGTTTCCCGATTTACAAAAGAGAAGAAGATTGATAGAGATCCCCTCCTTTGTTTAATTTGGGTTCTTCTTGGTGTCGATGGGAGCTTGAATCTTGTATTCCATTGACGATCCAACGCTTTACCTCATGGAACACGATGTCTTCCTCTTGATTGACGTAGAGGAGAACTCACGTCATGAATTTTAAACTCTTAACGAGTTAGAAAACTCTGAACGAGTTATAACTCTATAAAAGAATTGATTTGAACCGAATAATCAGTTATCAAGCCAAGAATGAATAAAGTTGATGTTGCTGATGAAGAATCTAAACTCTTCTAAGAGTGAATGACAATCTCTCTAAAGAAGGTAAAAGATCCGATCTGATCAAAAGATCCCGAACTCAGTTGAGTTTATTCTATTTATAGGGGATTAAGGGGTGTGACTGCCTCTTTAATCCGCTCCTAAGTGGGGCGGACATCCCTTAAATCGTGGGGAAAACGGTTTTGGAACCGTGCAGAACGTGTTTGAACTGAACGAGTCAAACACCAATCTGGGCGTTCTGATAACGAACTCTGCGTTCTGGACGTGGAACACAGAGTTAATGCTTGCGTTTGGGCTAGAACAGTGATAGGACTGTGTTCTATCTTTAAAACGTAGGGTTGAGCTTCTGCATTTTGAGTTGAAGAGGTCGTCGTCTTGTAGTCTCTTCTGATCTGAGCGTTACGAGGATTGTAATCTTGTAATCTTCGTCTTGGTTCTTTGTAATGTGAGAGTCGTCAAATTGTAACTCTGCTATCATGGATTATGAAGGCTGTTGAATCAGGACTTTCATCAGTTGTTGTAAGTGTCGTCGAATTGTAATATTTATCAATCTACGTGAAAGTTTCCTCAGTTGTAGCCTTTATTTGTTGGTCTAAAATTCATCTGGTTGTAACTTTCATCATCGAATTGTTGATGCGGAGATCGTCTGATTGTAATCCCCATTTTCAGTGCTTAGTGGGGATCAACTATCTGTTATAATTTTTAGACAGCCTACAATCGATATCAGCGATTTTCATATATAATATGTTACAATCCGCCTTCTAGATTGGGAGATAGTCTTTTTTGTGGGCAAATCAATAATTCACAGGTATCTGCGTCTAAATTATAGAAGTCGTTATTTTTTCCATCAATTTGCTTGTTATACGTCTTATATTAGAAGGTAAATATGGTGGCAATTTTAAGATCCACACACTACATGAAAAAGGTTGTTAAAATATTCTCTTTGATTATAATGCAGATGCTAATTGCATGCAACTATTATCACACATGCATATATATTTTTTTTGGTCAATGAAAAAAACTTTATTCATCTTCCAAATATGAAATTTATGTACATCAAGATTCTCAGATTTGAGAAAACAATTAACAGACAACCCTGGTCATCTTAATCCTATACATATTTACAAAGAGCAAATCCAATCAGTTTCTTCCTCAGCTATATATGGAGAGTTTAAGCATACTGTCAGCGTATCAATTTTGATCTGCTTAACCAAGATCTCCACAGTCTTTGTACTTCAGTTGGAAGATCCTCCTATTTCTCTCACACCAAAGGTGATAGATTGTAGCCGAAAACACTGATCTCTTAATTTTTTGTTTTATACCTTTCCCCCTTAGCTTTGTGCAATACCAATCCAAGAGAGAGTCCCAACTACATGATCTCCATTTGAAATGAAGCCAATCCATGATATGATTCCACACTTCTCTTGAGAAGGAGCATTCAAAAAATAGGTGATTTCGGCTCTCTAAGCACATGCATATAGTTACAGCTAGTTGGTTCAATTTTAAATATTGCAATTAAACACTGCATTTTAGTTATATGTTTTGTATAATATGAAAATATTTTTGGATTTAAGTTGAAAGTTGATTATTATTGGATGCAATTAAAGTTTTTTATTTTTTTTATTATTATTATTTTTTTTTTGCTACTCAAAAATGCCGTCGCTGCGGCTTTACACTCAAACCTGCATAGGTGGTCGAATGCAAGTGAATGTATTTTTCGTCTATGTAATTGTGACGAGATTAATTAATATAACGCAACAAATAAACATAACTATCTAAAATGATCGAGATACATGATAACGCACCCGTGTATAGGCAAGAGTTTGCACACTCTACCTACACTGTCATGCACAGCCGTTCTATAGCCCCGTCACGTATGTCACATCTGTAGTTATCTCTCCTCTCAAACATAGCTTTTTTAGGTTTTTTTTTAATATATACCTCTTAAATGATCCGTGTTTGTAAATATCTGAAAATAATTATCTCTAGAGTCAAAAATTTACTCAAAGCCAAATTGCAACAGCAATGTAAAAACACCTACAAAACAGTAAAATTTTCATTTGAAAAATTCCTCAGGACTCAAAATATGGGACCAATAGAGGGGACAAGTGAGATGTCCTCCTCCTATTGGATAATGAGTTGGCAATCATTAATGATGGCCAACTCATTATCTCATAGGAGAGGGACACCTCACTTGTCCCCTCTATTATCCCAGTAGCAAAACTCTTTTCACTCGACAGAGTTGAGTAATTTTTAGAGTACGGGTGTTCCCATCTAAGTTGATAATTCTGAGTAGTTTAACAAATAATGAGATTTTAGAGCATTCGGCTCTATAAAAGCTCCCAACCATGCATACGCCCTTCTCTCTCCACTCTCTCCCCTAAAACCCCCTCCTCCTCTTTCTCTCTCCCTCTCCTTAACGACGTCATGCTTTCCCCTCTCCTCACCGTCCCCTCCCTCCTCCTCCTCCTCCTCCCCATTTCCCCAACCGCTTCCTTAACGCCGTCACCCACCAGGCTCCAGCCAGAATGCGCCACGTCGTTCTCGAAAACCCCGTCCGCCTCCTTCAACAACAACAACCCCCCCTCCCTTCCCTTCTCCTCCCCCTTCGCCGCCACCCTCCACTCCACCCTCTCCGCCATCCAGACCCTGGTCTCCACCATCTCCTCCTTCTCCCGCAGCAGCGCCTTTTCCGGTGGCGACCTCCGCCTCTCCTCGGCCATCTCCGACTGCCTCGACCTCCTCGACCTCTCTCCTCGGAGCTCTCCTCTGCCTCGACCCGGCCACGGCTCCGGAGACCGCCTCTCCGACCTCAGGTCCTGGCTCTCCGCCGACCTCGGCAACCAGGACACGTGCCTCGAGTCCCTCTCCGGCACCTCTCTCTCCTCGCCTCCTCGTCGGCTCCGGCCTCGACTCCGTCTCCTCCCTTCGTCGCCCGAGCCCTATCCCAGATCCCCGGCGGGTTGAACAAGAGAAATCTCGTTTCTTCCGACGGGTTCCCGAAATGGGTCAGAGCAGAGGACCGGAGATTATTGCTGCAGGTAACATCTTAATTTAATTATTACAGGACGCTTTATTTATTATATACAAGTTTTTTTAAAACTATTTTTACGTGTATTAATTAATTAGCTGTTATCCGTAACATCACTAGAATTAGCGTAGGGCACACACCTAATAAGGTTTAAAAAAATCATAAGACTGTCGGCGTGGGTTCCGAACACAACCCTGATAAATTGTAACTGAGACAAAATCCTGGGTGGGCGGGCCCACCACTGGTTGTGCAGATGGGACCCGGCGGGGTGACGCCGGATGTGGTGGTGGCGGCGGACGGGCCGGGAACTACACGACGGTTGGGAGCGGTGGAGGAGGCGCCGGCGGAGAGCGAGGAGAGGTTTGTGATTTACGTGAAGAAGGGGGTTTACGTGGAGAACGTGGAGATCAAGGAGAAGAAGTGGATGATAATGCTGATTGGGGACGGAATGGATCAGACGGTGATCTCCGGCGACAGGAGCGTTGTCGACGGGTGGACCACTTATCGATCTGCTACCGTCGGTGAGCAAATTAATTTTTTTGTCCCACATTAAATATTGTCAAAATTTCAAAAACCTTCTGCTCAAAACCTCAGCAGTACTGTTACTTTGTTCTTACACACATTAAAATTTCCGTGCAACATATACTATTTGTATCTTATTTCATAGTATATGTACAATGGTTACCCCTATGCTTTTTACACAGAATGAGCGAGTCACTTTAATTTAAAGCGCACCCTTCAATTATTGTCTATTGACAGAATTATATTAGGAGTTTGAATCTTTATAACTCCGTTAGGTATGGTCTCATTTAATTAGTTTGCCAGTTTGGCCAGATACTATTTCTAGAGGCAACAAAGTTTAGGCATATGAACTTTCATCGAAGCTAATAAATCAACCTAGTGGATCGAGGAAGCTAGCTTTCACAGAACTAGCAATTTGATCAATGAAACCACATTAAATTCGTGTCATCATTAATCAACATAACATGGGTTGGGCGCGGCATTTTTTGGATCCCTTACGTTTAATCAATTTTGTAAGAGTTACTACATGTGTATTACATTAATGTAGCTAACAAATTTGATTAGATCATGGGTTGAACTTGGGTAATTCATAATGTGATTCTTGTGAATAGGCTACAAAGTTGTGACTTCGTTCATAAATCTCCATAAGTTCGATTTTTGTGGTCAGAAAAAACATTTCTTTTTCTTCTCTCCAATCCACTGGATGATCTAGATCAAGTTCTTAATTTGATTAGTATAAGGAGCTACGAGATTCTCTTTTTCTCCAAAGTTTATGTCATTAATCCTTCTCATGTCACGTACGTTCTAACGTTTATATCCCTTTTTTGCCTGTTAATTTCAGACAAGACCAGGAAAAAAAAGGACATATTTCTTGTGGCGTTGCTCAATAATTCATTTTACTTGTTCTTACTCTTGAAAGTATGTGATATGTGACTAAAGTGGAGATGTGATTCTTTCACTATATTATTCATTTGACAATTGTTCTTACTCTTGTCAGTTAGCTAGGGGCCGGATCAGGATTCACTATAATTTGAAATCGAAGTATCTGACTATTATCAACTATTAGTTACCCTAAAGCTTAAGGGTAAATTTCACTAAAAGAAGGTTGACCCATTTTGATATAACCCGCAAAAATTCGGAGATGTGCCCTTGACTCCCACAACTTAATCATTTTTCTAAATCTATTTTTAGGTAAATCCCAACTCTTTGGGGGATACTTGAAAGTTTTGAGGGTTAAGTGACATTTCCAAACTTTTTAGCTTTTATCTCAAAATAAGGCAAAACTTATTTAAAGTGTTTTGTTAACATTTACCCAAAATTTTATAATAAAATTAGCTTTTTCTTTTGTTTCACACATTTTTGAACGACAGGTAACCAATGTTGTTTTAAATGTCTCCTTATTCTACAGGTATATCCGGAAGAGGGTTCATTGCACGGGACCTAACGATTGAAAACACCGCCGGACCCTCAAAGCACCAAGCGGCCCCCCTTCGCTCAGACTCAGACTTATCAGTCTATTATCGCTGCGCCTTCAGGGGTTACCAGGACACGCTCTACGCCTATTCCCTTTGTCAGTTCTATTGCGACTGTGTGATCACAGGCGCGCTCGAAGTCGTCTTGAAAAGGTAACCACCCTTCAGGCCTAATGACATTGCCTAAGTAAGATTGCATAACTATCGTCCTCGAATACTCCTTCCAAGGCCTACCGAGATAGGTGTATGTTTGGTTCACGCTGTTGATGAGATCCGTATCTGCGGTAACGTTGCATGATTGGATAACAAACCCTGTGTCCTGGTTAGGAGCTGTTGATGAGATCCGTATCTGCGGTAACGTTGCATGATTGGATAACAAACCCTGTGTCCTGGTTAGGACATTCGCGCCCATTGGCGGTAACGGCGTTTTTCTGGCCAGGTAACGGGAGTCGAGCTAGGATTTTTGAGTTCTGGATGACGGCAGCTGCGTTGCCAATACTAGTAAAAAACGGAGTATCCTAGACGGAAAATTCCGTCTAGGAAAGTCAAATTTCTGCCTAAAAAGACTATCCTAGACGGAATTCCGTCTAGGATGTTGGTCCAGTAAGATTCCGTATAGGATGTAGTATCCTAGACGGAATTTCCGTCTAGGAAGCATCCTAGACGGATAATCCCAGACGGAAATGAATTACGTCTAGGATTAATATCCGGCTAGGATGCTTCCTAGACGGAAATCCCGTCTAGGATGCTACATCCTAAACGGAATCTTACTGGACCAATATCCTAGATGGAATTCCGTCTAGGATAGTCTCTTTAGACGGAAATTTGACTTTCCTAGACGGAGTTTTCCGTCTAGAATACTCCGTTTTTTACTAGTGTTGGCAACGCAGCTGCCGTCATCCAGAACTCTAAAATCCTAGCTCGACTCCCGTTACCCGACCAGAAAAACGCCGTTACCGCCCATGGGCGTGAAGATCCTAACCAGGACACAGGGTTTGTTATCCAATCATGCAACGTTACCGCAGATACGGATCTCATCAACAGATCCTAACCAGGACACAGGGTTTGTTATCCAATCATGCAACGTTACCGCAGATACGGATCTCATCAACAGCGTGAACCAAACATACACCTATCTCGGTAGGCCTTGGAAGGAGTACTCGAGGACGATAGTTATGCAATCTTACTTGGGCAACGCCATTAGGCCCGAAGGGTGGCTACCTTTTCAGGACGACTTCGCGCTCAGCACGTTGTATTACGTGGAGTACATGAATTATGGGCCTGGATCAGGCCTGGCAAATAGGGTTAAGTGGCCGGGCTACCACGCGACCAACCGTTCAGCTGACGTGGCCAATTTTACGGTGGCTCAGTTCATTAAGGGGGATATGTGGTTGCCGTCGACTGGGGTTAAGTATACGGCAGGGTTGGTGTAAATGGTCAGTTAGGGTAAATACTTCGTAGAGAGTAGCTTTATGGGGGAAGTGTGTTTTGAGGTCGCTCTCTTAATTTGAAGGGTCGTGGGCTGTTTCATATTTGTTATTGTTAAGTCCGATTCTTTTTGTTTGATTATAGCGGAAGACTAAGTTACTGTCAAGGTTGTTAAATTTTCTGTTGTCATTAACGTGATATGCGGTTTCGTGTCTGGATGTTGAATCACCGGGGTTTTCCCATGTTTGATCACGAGTGGGTTAGTCCGTGTGTAAAGTCAGGTCTATAATAGTCCCACATCGATCGGATATACGAAAATTATGAAGTTTAAAAAAGAAAATTTTGTTCTAAGTACCCGAGCAATGAGGAAATGTGCTTGTGAGGAATGGGTTCCGCTACTTCCTTCTGATTGTTGATGACCTTCTGCATTAGACCTGAGCTCAATGTGTACTTGTTTTTAAAATATGAACTGTTTATTTATATATTTTCCCCACTTGGTTTTTTTTTTTTTTTTTTTTTTTTTGCAGTTTTATTAGATGCATTAAATTCCTCTTGGGTTAAAGTTGGATCCTGTAGTCGAATGGGTGCAAATGAGGCTGCTCCATGATCCGAGAAGTAAGGATCATTAAATTCCTCTCGCATCGGAGAAGTAAGGATGCCTGCATAGAGGGAGATCGGAGAAAGTGGCCGATTAATAATGAAATGAAATGTTTGCAAATAAATCCCTTATAATTTATTATTTGGAAATTATTTTTTGCCACTTAATTCTATACTCGAGAAATTCTATATCTTTACCTTAGTTGATACGAAAAATGTGACGCCTAATTCTATATTTTTGTCATGATTTCTTAAGAAGCTACTCCCTTTAACCAGGATTACTCGTGGTCCTAATTGTTGTTCCATTTAATATGGTTAACTCAATTTCTCAATCACTGCGCTTATGTTAATTTGGTCTCAACAGTGGATTAATTGTCAAGGCAAATATTTTTCACTTAATAGTTTCTCAATTCTTACTTGTTGTTGTGTAACGACTCCATGGGGGGGACTGATAAGTCTCCGGTGCATGATGCCATGTCCACTAGAACATATTCAATGTTTTCATACACAACGCACTTCAGTTTGGAAGGTACGTACGTTCTTTTTTGCAAAACCCCATAATTGAGGGTTATTTTGCAAAGCCCCCTAAAGTTTGATTGGCTACCGAAGTTAGTAATGTCTATGTTTGCCCACCTCCGTAATAAGCTGAAAATCCTTTTACAAGATGAAGCAACTAAAGAATCAGGAAAATTAATATATTAAATGATTTGATCACACATCCTCACCAAAAGTTTTAAGTAGTAACAACCAATAAAATTAGCAGCCTACGGGCTGCCTAGCTAAGTGATGAAATGATTTAATATGTAACTACAATGAAGCGTGTGAGCGAAGCAACAATTGATGGGGGCAGCTACCTATATATGAAACAACAATTAATGCTCAAAGAAATGATGGGTCCATTTGCAAATAGTAAGATTTAGTCAGCAAATTTGCGAACATGGAATATTTGAAGGATACAAGACAAAAATCCCAAATTGAATTACTGCGGGCTATAGACAATGACGCAGTCAACCATGTGACTATGGTATGATATAGATTTGAGCTTGGTACCATGTGACAATGGCATGATACATATCCATGCATATTATTGGACTATATATGAAGATATGCAATCAATACAGAACCTCTAATTATAATTCATGGGCCACGTTTTTTTAATTGTCCTGGGACGTGGGGGTACTATAATCCCTAGGCTATAGTCCTGCGCTCGTGTGTTGCCCTAATACTATTTTAATCTAATTCAATATTTGATTATACTCGGACTAACTTAAAATAATCCAGACTAGTATTTACTTTTAGCGGGATTATGATCACTTGGATTCCCCTTAATCGCAGGCAGAGAAGAAAACCGTAGCCGAGAATTTAATTATGCTACGATCAATGCTTCGATGAACGATGTGCGAAACCAGATCTCTTGAAAACCTTTTACAATGTTTAAATTTTTGTTACATTATTTCATGTTGATATCCCATTCACAAGCAATCTTATAGACTTCATGATTCAATTCATTGATTAAATGCTTGAGTTCCAAGGTCAATCTAACTATCATTTTTAATTCTTTGCAAAAGCCTCAGGGAAACCCTTGATCGAGTACTCTGACCGCATTATCCTAAGTTGAAAAAAAATCCCGCCTCCTAATTTGCAATTGGGTTTTCTTTGATTTTGCGTAGGTTAAAATTTGGAATTAAGTTTGTTCAAATGGGAGTTTATTGAGAAAAAAATTCAATCAGCCTCACTTGAATCCTTCATTTATATGAATCAGGTTATAATATGAGTTTATTGCAACAAAATATATGTTCACCTAAAACTTTTACTATATATTTTGGAGAAATTATAATATAGATTTATTGCCACACGAAGAGCTCAATGGCACGTCGATCGAAGGCTACATTGGAGCTCGACTTCTTCGGGCCCGAGAGGATCAACGACCACCGAAGGTCCCTCTTACAACTATCCCTCTCAGTACGATATGATCACCATGATCTCTTTGTTTTGTTTACTCTTTTTTAATATCTTTGAGATTGGAGGCCTCTCTTTTTTTTATTTTTTTTATTTTTTTTTTATTATTTTGGATTTTACTCATCTTCTAGTTCTATTAGGTTTCTAGATTCACATAGGTTTTCAAATTGTATTTTATTTCACCAGATATTGGATTATACATGATCACTAAGTATAAATTTGAAAAGATTTTATCATCTATTCACTTATTTCTTCTCCAGGGTAAATTATAAATTAATAATTATGCCGAAATCTTTTCATATTTATTATTGTTTTGACAAGGAGTTGATTTAGTTTTGGAGGCTTCTCAATTCAGACAATGTTCAATATATGGGAATATTTCAATTTTAGGCTTTCTATATGTGAAATTCATCTTTCTTTTGGAACTATTTATACGTGTATTAATTTAGATCGACAATGATTATTTATGGTTTACTTTATTTATATGTGTATTAATTTAGGCAATGATTATTTATGGTTTACATGTACTAAAAGAGAAAATCAATGCCTAAGCTTAATGTTCACTATTCTTTTTTGCTTAAATATATAGGATAAGATTTCAAATTAAAATGGGAAACTTTGTGACTTGCAACCGCTTTATGCTATATATATTTCAAGGCTCATATATCGTTTTCTGTATCGTGGTGTAGTTACATAGGATGCCATCAAAATTGATATATGCTAGATATTTTTGGATATTACTTAGGGGATCTAGATAGGAATAGTTTTCAACTTGAGACGAACTTTTTAAAGGAAAATGCAAACTTTTTAAAGGAAAATGCAACACACTGAATGTACTGGGAAAAGTTAGCCAAAAATTAATACTAGGCCGTGCTTAGCATGAGCTAGTTAGACTATATAAAGAGCTATATTTTACTCTAAAAGAGCTATTGTATTCATTAATTAAGTAGCTATATTTCAGCTATAATGAGCTACAATATGCTTTAAGAGTTATGTTCTAAACAATCAAAAGTAGGAGATTCTAAGCTTCTATGTTTTGTTTTTAATATTATACTACTATAAAAGTGTGTTAGATGTTAAAATATTTTTTCTGAAAATACCTACCAAAACAAGTACATGCATCCGTAAAAACGTATACATGCATACAACTTGTCTTATCTTGTATTCTATCATAAAAGTGTGTTGGATGTTAAAATGTTTTTTCTCAAAATGTCCTCCAAAAATATATATGCACCAAAAAAAACATACATATACATACATGTGATACATACATGCATACATAAGATCATACTCTTTCAAATGAAACACATACACATACATATACATACATACATAAATTAAACCCCTCCAATTTCTTCTCATAACTCTCAATCTTATTGAATCACATTAATTATATTTACTATTGTTAGATATATTTTATAAACTATGGTAAAACTATTATATACTACACACAATGGTTAGATGTGACATTTATACTTTATCTATGCTCTAAAAAGTTTTGACATATATATATTTATTATTTATCTATGCTCTGAAAATATTTGACGATTTATCTATGTTTTATCTAATATGCTTTATATTATCTATATTATTGTAAAAACGTATTCTCTACTAACCAAACTATCGATTAATATTCTCACTGTTGCAAATGGAATGCTGACGTCCCTTTATGCTTAACTAACTGGTCGCTGACACGTGTAAAGTAGAGTCTGACCGTCGAATCCACCGATCGAATCGAATTATCAATATTGCTCCCATGAATTGTCTATAAATAATGTTTAACCCCACTGCACCATCAGGTACGTTGGATTAAACCCTAAATTATATTATGCATTCTAACAGTTTCTTTTATCTGTTACCGACTTGAGCGGCAGAAGGCACGCTAGAGGAATTCTCCTCCGGCCCTCTAACGTGTGTTATTTGTACATAGGTATGCTTCTCCCTCAAATTAACCGGTCGTCAAAGACCCCCAAACTCCTACAAATACCTCTCACTCACAACAGTTTGCGCCTTATTTGATTATTTACGACATAACATATAACAAAATCCATTAAAGATTCTATAACCCCCCCATTAATCACCAATTAATTCCAATTAGAACTACAACAATTCATTTTCTCAAGCGTAACCGCTATGGATCCCCTTTAAATCTCCACCATCTTCAATGAATAGACACTAATAAAAAACAGCAATCCGCAATCCGTCTTCTTCTCGCCATGACGCATATTGAAGTGTGTGTCTGCTAAGGCTGGTAAACGACCAAATCGAAGCCAACAACCACTTATTCAAATTCGGATTCAATCCATTTCTACATATACGAATTCGTGATCATATTTGAGTCGAACACTAAATGACCATTCAAATTTGATTCGACAATATTTATTCGCGTTCGATAATTATTCATGAATATTTGGTTAACAACAAACTGCAATTTCCCCTACATTATTTGTTTAATATTCGATATCCATCCGTCAATTATTCGAAATGAATAATTCAATATCTAATCAAAACTAAAAAAAATTGTAACTTTAAGCCTCAACTTACATTTTGATGAAGGGGTCGCAGGTTGGGGAGGTAGAGGTGAAGCCGATGAAGTTTCGTCGGGTTTGAGAGGTAGCGACTGATAGAGACCCCAATGGTGAAGCCGAGATGACTAAAGTGCTGATGAAGCCCGATTCGGAGATGAAGAGTCAAGATTCGAGGAAGGATCGAGAGGGAAGAGACCAAGACCGTTGAAACTCAAGGCCAAGGGGGTAAATCAGCGAAGGCTGAAAGAGACTGTGAGAGTGTGAATGATCGGTTGGCGAGAGGGAAAAGAGTGGAGCTTGAGTCCGCCGACGAAGGGGAAGAGGCCGGAGCTTGAGTGAGAGCTCTTGATCTGCCGGCGAGGGGAAGATCTGCCGACAAGGGGAAGATTGGTGGAGCTTGGGTGAAGGTTCGGCCGGCGGAGTTTGAGAGAGAGAGTGATCGGGAGAGTGGAGGCGGAAAAATAAATATGTTTATTAATTATTTGGTTCACTTCCACCCATAGGTACCCTTTGGCAAGGGTTAAGTCAGGGGTTAAGACTTAACCCCTTCTTAACCTGCCAAACATAAAAATTTATACAATGATTAAAGTGAGTTAACCCTCTATAATTTGTCAAATATAAACAATATAGAAGGGTTAAGCTAACTCCTTTAGGGGGGTTAAAATCAGTTAACCCATCAAAATAATGAGTTTACTAATAATCCTATTTAGAAGGATTATACTCTTATTTAGAAGGATTAAGAGTTAACCCTTCTAATTACAAAGAAAATAGTCAAAATCATTATTATTCTCAAACACTAAAAATAATCACAATAGCTAAAATAAAACTTCTATAATGGATTAATAATTTAGTCATTCGGAATATCAAGTAGGTTAAATGTGTTAATTATTATCCTTAATCATATTTCCTTAACCCTTTACAAAACGGGGCTATAGTGTCTGCTTAAAAAAATTATAAATAGGGTACCCTTATAAGTAAGTTATCTACTTTTAAAGGCAACAATTAAAAAAAATGAAAATAATTCAATTCTTAAAAACAAGACCATAATCAACGAAGAAAGTCTAGAGAATAAGAAAGTCAGATATATAAAGTAATAAATAGATAAATAAGTAAAACCAACCCTGTGCAAGTAGAGACAAAACGCTTGTAATGATTATTAGATTGTGGGCATTTGGATGAGCTTATCTATGGGGTAGTTTAAGCTTGTGTATATTTTTTTTGGGTTAACTACAGATAAGCCCCCTATAGTATCACTCATTTGCAAATACACCTCATACAATTCTATAGCTGCAGATAAGCCCCCTATAGTATCACTCGTTTGCAAATACACCTCATACAATTCTATTTGTGTGGATAGACAGCCTCAATAAATATTTTTGACCCGAATCAAAAGTTTTTGAGGAGACAAAATAAATCACTTTATAGTTTTACTAGTGAGAGTATACGCCCTCTTTTTTAACTCTTAAAAGAGTCGAAAAAGTTCATTGAGGAGGTCAATCCGCACTTATGGGGACACCACCGGGTCTATCCGCATAAACAAAACTGTGGGAGTTCTTTCCGCAACTGGGGCGCCAATATTACACTAGTCTTTGCTAAATTTTACTGGGCTAGATTTTGGAAGTGGCCCATTCTTATAACAACAGCAAACCTAAGATTTCTAAGAACATACTCAATTCAAAAAGAATATGTTTCTATCTATATTTTTGTAGGACACATAATCGTGTCCATCTTTTATATTCATGAATGAAACAAACAGGGACTTTCCCTTGTTTTCTGCTCCAAAAAGAAAAAATTCTTTAAAACAAGAGTTCAACATTTCATACACAATGTACTTGGGCTAGAGTACTGAATTTCCTTAATCAATCTAACAAAAAGAAATTACTAAGCAAAATAAATACCCTTCACGATATAATCAAAACAGTGATTTTCAAAGCAAGAGTAACCAATCTAGAAGCAAAACCATCCTCTTTTACCAACAAAGACCCCATCCCACTCTTCTTGAAAGCATCTTCACACTCAATAGGCCTCTTCCAGGCCTCACTTAGATTAACCAGAGCACCATCAATATCAACAGCTTCAATCTTTGCATTAGCCGACATCAAATCAGAGACCCCCACAGCGTAACTAGCCAAGCAAGAGTTTAGCGCTACCTCAACTTGAGGAGATGATATTAATCTCTCTTGAGCACTACTCATAAGCTCTCTTACTTTGGCTAAGTTGTGAGTGTAGTTGGCAATCGTCAAGTTCGTTGCTATGAGCGCGAGACCCTTCGCATCCGCGGCTTGGCTACTGGGAATAGCTTGGAGAGACGTCACGCAAAATTTGAAGTCACTTCCGGCTACTTTCTTGCAAGTGTCTTCCAAGGTGGCCAAAGCTAAAGAGAGGGTTTGAGAGATTGTGAGAAAATAGATGAAGATGTAGGCGCCCTTCATTTCTTTAGAAGTCTAGCGTCGTTGCTTCTCTACTACGTATAGTCTCTACTTATGGTGATCACATCCGTGAACAACAATGATGATTGATTATATGCTAAATAAATGTATTTATTTGTTCGTTTGTGTAAGGAAAGGAATCAAGCTGTAATATGATTTTCTAATAAAAGCAAAGGTATAGGTGTCACGTGCATGGAATCTCCTATAATCTATCAATGAAACGATCATACTGTCATTATTTATAATGAATACACGAATAACAATCTAATTACAACAACTATATGCAAGTGGGGCATTCCACGTCATAAACGGGATGGTTAAATTTCGCTAGCCAACCATAAATGATATAGATCACCCCATTCTATAGGGTGTTCTGATATGATTCTTGTGTTTAGTGTGCTCGTTCATGTTTGTGATCTAGTTTGTCTGATCAACCCAAGCTTAACCGTCTATTTTCAGAATCTGTATTACTGTAGAGGATTTTGGATTTTCTTCACTACTTTCTTTACTTCTCCATGTTGTTAACCTGATACATAACAGTTCGTTAGTTTTTATATTGAAAATGACTCTACATTATGAAATTTAAATTCCGTGTCACCTAATAACGCTCAAAACTGCGGGACAATTAGATCCATTTAATCAGTTTTATATTTTGGGTTGCCAGAGCTTGTCTTTGGAGTGGTTTAAGCTCGTGTACAGTTTTTTGGGCTCACGTTGGGATCCAGCCCACTTCTTGACAATAATATCAAAGCCCCTATTGCTGAGCAAAACTTTTATCAGGACGGCCCATAGTGGCCCAAAAACCCGCTAACCCTCGTCCTCAGCCTCTGCCTCTCCCCGTCTTCTCTCGCTCTCCAAAACCCTGATCTCTTTCTAACTAAAACCCTAGCAAAAAAGAGGGGAGAAAAAAAATAATAATCCACGCACGCACACTCTCTTTCTACTGTCATTCCTACAATTAATCCAATGATCGCTCTATCCCGTCGAAAACCTCCAATCCAATTTCTCCTCTCAACCCTAAATCATGCTTCAACCCTCCAAAACCCTAAATTTCTCCCCCAAAACCCCAACTTTTCCTCCCAGTCCTCCCCCAAATTCCCCGAGTACGAGATGCCCTCGGTAACTTGGGGAGCGATCCACGGCCGCAAAGAGCGCCTCGTTTCCCGCGTGATCATCTCCGACTACCTCAAATCCCTCGGCATCATCCCCGACGAGCTCGCCCCCATCGAGCTCCCCTCCACAATCGACGTCATGAAAGAGCGAATTGAGTTCTTGACCAAGCTCGGCCTCACCGTCGACGACATCAACAACTACCCGTTAATGCTGGGCTGCTCTCTCCGCAAGAACATCATCCCGGTGCTTACTTACCTCCAAAAGATCGGCTTTCCGAAGCCCAAGCTCGGAGAGTTTGTGAAGAATTACCCTCAGGTACTGCATTCTAGTGTAATTGTTGAGTTGGCCCCTGTCGTTAAGTTCCTTAGAGGATTGGATGTCGAGAAGCAGGACATACCTTATGTGTTATCTAGGTTTCCAGAGTTGTTCGGGTTTAAACTTGAGGGTACGATGAGTACTTCGGTTGCATATTTGGTTAGCATCGGTGTTTCGCCTAGAGATATCGGGCCGATGGTGACCCAGTTCCCGTATTTTCTCGGAATGAGGGTCGGGACGATGATTAAGCCGTTGGCTGAGTTTTTGATTGAGTTGGGGATTCCGAAGAGGATATTGGCGAGGATGCTAGAGAAAAGGACTTATGTTCTTGGATATGATTTGGAGGAGACGGTTAAGCCGAATGTGGATGCTTTGATCAGTTTTGGAGTGAGAAAAGAGGTGATACCGATGATAGTTGCACAATTTCCGCAGATCCTTGGATTGCCATTGAAGGCTAAACTGTCGACTATGCAGTATTTCTTTAGTTTGAAGCTTAAGATTGATCCTGAGGGGTTTGCAAAGGCATTGGAGAAGTTGCCGCAGATTGTTGGCTTGAATCAGAATTTGATGATGAGGCCGGTGGACTTTCTTAGGGGGAGGGGGTTTTCCGATGGAGATGTGGCTAGAATGGTTGTCAAGTGCCCGCAGTTGCTTGTGCTTCGAGTTGAGGTGATGAAGAACAGTTTTTACTTCTTTAAGAGTGAGATGAGAAGGGGAATGGAAGAGTTGTTGGAGTTTCCTGAGTATTTTACTTATAGCTTGGAGGCAAGGATAAAGCCAAGGTACCAGAGGTTGGCGAGCAAAGGGATTCGTTGTGGGTTGGGGTGGTTCTTGAATTGTAGTGATCAAAGATTTGAGGAGAGGTTGCAGGGTGATTATATTGAAGGAGAGACTTTGGGGCCTTCGTTTGTTATGGGTGGGAAATTGGATATGCCTGGGAGCGAATTGGTATCTGATGAAGAGGACGATGAGAGTGATAGTGAGGTGCTCTATAGGCGGACCGTTCAGCTTTAGAGATTGGTGTTTTTGGTGTTTTGCGCCTATCATATTTATTTCCGGTACTAGAATATTGATGCTTTAGGCTGGTGCTGGCTATATCTGTAAGTTGTATACTTCACTTTTTTTTTGGTAATGAAAGGAACTGCTTTCTGTTTTCCTTAGTGTATTTACCCAGCCAACTTTGTCATGATATTAGAATCAGAGTATTGATGAATGTAGATAATGGATTAGATGTAAGATACATGTTTCACCAATACGTTTGATGTTAATGTTTCACAAAATTTAAAATATTTCACATGGTTTTACATTGGACTTTAGAAGATCAGTATTTGATATCCCTCTAGCCTCTATTCACAATAGTTATTAATACATAACTGATAACTTGAATAACAAAGCATTAATGTAACTAATAAGCTAAATTCTAGCAATTTGGTTATTGCCTTTCCCACAACAGTATGTTTCATTGTTTTGTCTCTTTGTAGGAGGGAGTTCATTTTCACAGGTTTCACAGGTTTTCTCCAGAAACTGTCTTAAAAGTACAAAAGTATGCCTTAAACATACAACATCGCGGTGTGAATGACAAGTAGTAGTATAGGTTTATATTTTAAATCTCAATTTAGAATAAACATACATTTATAGTCAGACATGCATGCATGACTAGTGTTCATATTTGAGCACAATATAAACCACAATTTTTTTAGCTCAGAAGACTACCAGTTTTAAGGTGCTTACATCTCCAACTGCATCTCAAAATGGAAACTTTCCTAAAGATACCGGAAATTAGTTGAACTTATTTTTTCGGACAAGAGGGATATTTAATTATGAATCAGATCAACTAACCTCTGGGTTGATGTTATTTTCCTAAGATCAACCAACCTCTTAAAGAAGTAATAATACCGGATCACATTCAAGATATGTGTCTCACTGATGTGTTCGATTTCAATGATTTGTTAAGTCTAAACATTTTCACATGATTTTACATTTTATCTTTTGGCTAGCAATCCTATATTCAGAGATTAGGTTATTAATGAATGATGACCATCAATAGCATGCCACATCGTAGCAATTTGGTTCTTGGGTGTTACTTTCTTGACAAATACATATGTCCCTGCCAAGGGATTCATATTCCAATAATATTCTTTTATCTATGTAAGTCTGTCCTAGCATATGCTGGTACTCCTTTCCTTCTAACAACACTAATAATTTTTGTTGCACACGTATCTGCTATGGTGTTAGATATTGGGTTCTTTTGACCTTAACTGAAATAACTTGCTCTTTCTGTATTCTTTTGTAGTTCTACTGCAACTTGACCACATCCACTTTGTTATCTGTGCAAGTTTATGTTTGAATCTTCTTTTTGGCTTAATTCGCGTACTGTCCAGACCATTCTGCTTTAAGTGCCTTTGCATCATCTTCTTTAGCTCCTTTTAAACCTGATTGGTCATGCTCTATACAAAATTTGAAACGGCTCTATATCACAATGCTAATCGATGTAGTAGAATTTTTGTGGACAATCTTTTCACATTATTAAGACTATCGACTAATGTGTCTGGTATACTCTTTCTAATCCTCAGATGCTGTTGTATGGAAAAGTACTGGATTTTATAGTTTTGGTACATGGCTGCGAAATAAACATACTTGCAGGTGCATTAGAGTATAGGTTTTGGATTGTAGGATTAGGTTTTGGGCTATTAGACTACAGGCAATGGCATTATAGATTACAGGATCCTGTTTTAGAGAGAAAGAAGGTTGAAGCCTTAAATCTTCATAACTATCTTTCTTCTCTTCTCTACCTGTCTGCATCTTGTCCCCCTACCTCGCTCCTAGTCTCTGGTCTTTCGAGGTTATCTCATCAAAATGGAGAGGTCACAGAGATTCTTCCACTTTCGACATTGCAGCAGCAGCACAGAACAGAAGTATCAAGAGCAGAAGCCCAGTGCATGTATCAAGAAGTGAGAGGGAAGCGAAGTTTGCTGTATATGGAATACTGTGGACTGAGTTATTATGAAGTAGGAAAGCTTAAGTAAGCCCATCTAATGGATTTAGGCCTATTTGAGAAGTTATTGGACCGCAATAAAACCATTTTCTGATTCAAAGCTGTTACCCTGAGGTATGGTGTTATTACGAGGTGGCACTGGAGGTCTGTATATCTACACAGGTAACCTTGAGATTACTAATTGTAACTACACGGGTGACCTTGTAGCCTAGACGAAAAACAACTCTTAAGGGTTACTCCTGTGACAATGATCAATAACCCTGGGGTTACCCATGTAGATACATAGACTCCAGGGTCACCCATATAATTACATCATGTCACAGCATATCAGGTTGTAACTAAGCCTACAATATAACATCAGATGCAGTCATGGTGCTATTAATGTGAAAAGGATATAGGGGACTTTTTATATTAAAAAATCTATATGGGCAGTAGAATTTTATGGGCTCAACATCAATTTTAAAGTTAATAATTATACTTCTTTTTGTACGGTTTGCAATGATTTAGAATTTTACCCAAGCTGATATTTAGTTGTTTGCATCAACCTGTATTGTTTTTTAACAACTTTATGCAGCGAACATACTGATTTAAAATTGATAATGAGATATGTATTGTCTTTTCCTTCCTCCTACGTGTTTTTCCTATAGAAGACACTATTTTCGTTGTTAGGGAAGTAGTAGATGCACAATGCATGTGGAGCTTCATCCTCCAGAGTCAATAACAAGACATTCGAGGAAATTAGATGCCACTTCCAACCGGACAGAAGAGCCAACACTCAATCACTCAAGAAAGTTTGCTCAATCTGTGTCCTAAAGATGAGATAGCCAGCGTGTAAAGCCAAATAGCGGAAGCTCTTCAGGATCAGTTTGTGCTCCTGGCTAGCTCGAGGAGGGACCGTGGCTTTGTCTTTTATGGTGCAAAATAACCTCCAATAGCTTCAAACTAGCTCTACAGGCCAAGGTATGTAAGGTTTTATGCTCGCAGCTAATAAGATCTTGTAGATTATTTGTAGTTGTGTAACATATACAATGGCTAAAATAAAGCCGTTAACATCAGCTTCAGTTTTAAGAACTGGGTTACCTATGTTTTGAGTACAAGTCCTCATAATTAAATCCACAAGTGTACTTACTGAACTCGGCCGCGACTTTAAGCATTGGTTTTGTCATTTTTCTGATGAATTCAAACTTTCAGGTCAAGCTCAAGCAACAGCTTCCTGTTGCCAATTAAGAAAAATTATGAAGCTCTAGGACCAGATATCAAAAGAGAATATGTCTATTTGTTTCACCTCTTTTTCTGGTACTTTTTATTTTCCTCCTCTATTTTTCTAAGTAGGATCTTATGTATGTGATATGAATGTGTTCACAATTGTAGGTATCATAGGTGCGGAGATATCATCACCGAAATGTTCCTCTACGCTTAAAAAAATGGGGCTTCCACATGGGACTTCACATGAGTGTACTAATGCTCATCCTTCTGTTTAGCCTAAATTACTTAATTGTCTTGGTTTGGTTTGGTTTTTAGTCAGCCCATAAATTTACGATGGTGTCCCTAGATTTGTTTCTTTCTTTGGCCCGTGCCATGGTTACTATGGGTGTGTGGCATGATATAGGAAAACAAGGAATAATTGGGGTTTCAAAAAATGTTAGGACGTTCTGAGAACCTCAAGCGTGACTCTTGTCACTAGCTTGTACCAGTTTTGGCCTTCCTTCTCCCTTTAAGTTTCTCATTTCTCCTAGTATTAATGCGTCAGCGTTTGGACATCCATGCCAATACTCTCTTCAATACACTTACCATTTTGTCCTAAGCTCGGTATAAAGCAATTTTCGAGCGTGTTTGGCAAGTGGTCGTAGCGGCTTCTTCGACATTTTTAGTAAATGGTTTTTTTTAGCTTACAAGCCATCGAAAAAATAAGCTGGGTGTAGCCCGGTAGCCAAACTTACGTTTCACAAAATTCCAAGCCCCATTTATCTCTCTCCAACCCATGGATTGTTTTGTGGTCGTTTTAACAGTAATGATAGATTTTAAACCGCCTATTTGCCAAACATTACTATTAAAAATGGATTAATTATCCGTTAATTACCAAACACTTTCGCTTGTAATCTACTTATTTATAATTTATTTATGGATTATAGGCCAAATAAATTATAATTGAAAGTCGCCAAACATGCTCGAAGTTCTCTTGACCTTTTTGTGAATGGATTTGTCAAGATTCTTTGAGCAAACATATAGATTAAGTGGGTTATTATTATTAGGAAGCAAGTGATCCGAAAATGGTTCCTAAAACTTTCAACCAAGCGCAGGGCCCTTGAGTCCAGCTCCTTCAGAGCTGTCTGTTGAGATGTCACTGCAAGCAGTAGCTTTTGGTGTTCCTTCATCTTATAATTACAATAATGCCATTATCTTCTCTTTCTCGTTTCCTTCCTCACCTCAATGAGGAGTGGCAACCTTGTTATTCTGAGGAATATCCTGGGCAACAAACCCCCCCTCACGCTGCATAAAACCGAGTTAGAAATACTCGCTTCTTCCCGTCTCTTTCCTAATCCCACCACCCGACGCTTTCTTGGACTAATTTGCCACTACCTAGACATTATTCTGTCCGTTACCGAGCCGACAACTAAGGGCATTTTAGTCATTTTGCAGGACCCCCCGCGCCCTCCTTAAAAGTATTCACTCATCGAACTCCAGCCATCTGAACACTTAAACTCAGTAGCACCACTACCGCCACCATTTCAATGGACTCCATCAAGTCCTTCAAAGGCTACGGCAAAGTAGACGAGGCCGAGGACCGCGCATTCAGGCGTAAAGCTCGATGCCGCCTCATCGCCATCGCCCTCTCTGCCATCGTCCTCGTAGCGATCATCACAGGCGTTATCGTCACCGTCGTCGTTAGT